ATCTCGAGGTTAGCCTTTGAAGGGGACCAATATAACAGTATTGTATCCATTGCATTTTGTATGCCATAATCGTGTTAACTTGTCTTCTTTGTCTGGCAATGACGATCGATTCAGCCACCAATAATTGATTTTGTACTTGATTGATTTCGTCGAACTGATTATTAGAATCTCCACTAAGCCCATCATTTTGAAAGAAGACCTTGTTGTTGAGCACCTCGGGACTGAATACAGTACAGAGAACAACGAGACCTTTCTGCTCGTCGACAGATAACCTATTCCAATTTTTATAGTCTGTGAAACGTTGAACAATCAGCATCGTTATCACAATCAATTGCCGTACATACGCAATGCAAATAATACATGAGTCGAGCGACGTCGTTTTCCGGTACATCTACCCGTACACCAAACGGTTTGAATTCGACTGTATTACTTCGTACAAGAGCAGACATAGTTTTTGAGCGCACCGACGTTATGAGCAACTATTCTTTTATACCACCTTTTAACCGTGATTCATGATTTTTTTCGCCAGTCATAGTTCTCGGAAATTCACACGGCAGTTGGTAAACAAAAAACGACAAAAATCATTCAGCTGTCTTTTCGCGGAATTTGTATTTTTTTTCTTCACTGAAAGTTTTATACATTTCTGCATCTCTAAACTTGAGCATTATTTGAGCATATGCTTCGATGTCCATAAAGCAAGTAGGATCAAAACTGCGTGGACATTCTGAGAATACATCCTAATCCACGATGTTATACATTGCGAAATCAATTCCACTCCCGGAATCAGTCCCATCCGATTCCGGAATTCCGGAATCATCGAACTAACTCGGCTTATTCGACAACGATCGAGTTCACTCAATTTCCGAAATTGCATGTGATTTCGCAATTCTGTTCGCTTCCGGAATTGCATCCGATTCCGGAATTACTTCTCATCCTGGGTGTAGGTGTGGGTGGTGTGAGTGTGGGTGGGTGTGGATGAGTGTGTGTAGATGGGTGTGGGTGGGTCGGTGTTAGGGTGTGGGTGGGTCGGTGTTAGGGTGTGGGTGTGGGTGTGGGTACGGATGGGATGTGCGTGTGGGTGTGGGTGTGGACGCGGACGGGATGCGCGTGTGGGTGTGGGCGCGGATGGGATCCCAGGTCAATCATGCTCGGTCGTACACGGCCGTATACCAACTAATTACGGCGGATAACGGCAGCTGTTTTCGTTAGCCATATACTGCAATCGTAAACGATGCTTTACGGCGAATTATGGCTATCGTAAACGATGACTGTAAAGGTCGCCGTTAACGACTAGCGTATCAATACGTCGACCGTATACGCTGTCCGGAAAACATCGTAAGGCATCGTATACGTCAGTTGTTTGCGGTAGCCGTTTACAACAATCGTAAACGATGGTTTACGTCATATTATGGCCATTGTAAACGAGGACCGTAAAATATCGCCGTTAACGACCAGCGTAGCAATACAGCAATTGTATACGCTAATCAGATAAAATATCCTAAGGTATCGTATACGTGAACCGTTTGCAGTAGCCGTTTACAGCGATTCTAAACGATGCTTTACGATGAATTACAGTCATTGTTTACAATGAACGTAAAAGTCGCTGTTAACGACCAGCGTAGCAATACGACGACTGTATACGCTCATCGAATAATATCGCAAGATATCGCATGCGTCAGCTGTAAATGTCTTAAGAAATAATCATCGTTTTCTATCATACTTCGTCGTAAACGGTCGTTAACGTTAATCACTTGCTCTTATCGAATATAAGCAACATGTGCTCGTGGCAACTTATACATGCCATTAGGTAACAATAGTTATACTTCAACAAAGTCGAGAAGGGTGTAGGTGTGGATCTCCTCTTCATCTGCAGCGACACTCACACCCACCCTCACACATCCGTCCCACACCCATCCTCGATTTTTGAGTATTGGTAATCCGATTAAAATCGGATTTATTCATTCTTTTTGGGACATAAGTTCACCCTACATATATATTAGTGCACGACACATTAGAATTCATTCGAGTAATAGCACATGTAGGACTAACATGTGTTAGAAAGATCTTTTTTCAGTCTTTTTGAGACTCTATATATCGATCTCAAAAAGATCTCAAAAAAATCTCAAAAAAATCTCAAAAAGATCTCGAGAAGATCTCAAAAAGATCTCAAAAAGATCTCAACAAGATCTCACAAAGATTTCAGTGAGATCTCAGAAAGATCTCAGAAAGATCTCAAAAAGATCTCAAAATGATCGCATACGGCTGTGTTCGCCTTAAGCAGTTACGTGTCACGGCGTAAAAACGGTCGTTTCTGGTCGCCGTAAAGGTCGATCTGAGTTGGGTAACAATAATCCGATAAGCATCGAATTTCTTCAAACTCTCTGAGATATTGACCATTCTACATGTATGAGTGTAGGATTCGTTAAAGTTCAGTCGAGTGAGAAAAACAGATACGAGTAACATATATTAAAAATCATTTTCTGAGAATTAACGATCCAATAAAAGTGATCTTTTTCCAGTCTTTTTGAGAGAGCGACCCCTACATATACGAGTGCTGCACGTGTCAGACACCATTCCAGCCAGAAAACAGATCAGAGTAACGTATATTCAAAAATGATTTCCGTATATTAATAATCCGATTAAAATGATCTTCTTCCCTCTTTTTGAGACTCGATCCACCTTGTATATATATGAGTGCTATACGTGCTGCAATTAATCCGAGTCCCAGAACACCTAGGAGTAAAATGTACTAAAAACCGGTTTTGGGGTATTAACAATCCGATAAAATCATCTTTTTCAATCTTTTGCAGCCTCTATCCACAGTGTATATATAAGTGCAGCACGTGTTAGAGTTCATTCCAGCTAGAGAGCAGGTAGGAGTAAGATATATTAAAAATCGATTTTTGGGTATTAACAATCCGATAAAACGGTCTTTTTCCAGTCTTTTTGAGACGCAATCCAACCTATATATATATATATGCGTGTAACACGTGTTACAGTTCATTCGACTTACAAAACAGGTAGAAGTCACATATATTAAAAAGATCTTTTTTCAATCCTTTTGAGACTCAATCCACCCTATATATATGAGTGCAGCACGTGTTACAATTCATTCGACTTACAAAACAGGTATGGATAACATGTATTAAAAAGATCTTTTTTCCATCTTTTTGAGAGGCGATCCAACCTATATATATATGCGTGTAACACGTGTTACAATTCATTCGACTTACAAAACAGGTCGAAGTAACATGTATTAAAAAGATCTTTTTTCAGTCTTTTTGAGACTCAATCCATCTTATATATATGAGTGTAGTACGTATTTGAGTTCATTCGACTTACAAAACAGGTCGAAGTAACATGTATTATAAAGATCTTTTCTGAGTCTTTTTGAGACTCTGTCTACCCTATACATATGAGTGCAACACATGTTAGAGCTCATTCGACGTACAAAACAGGTAGAAGTAACATGTATTAAAAAGATCCTTTTGCAGTCTTTTTGAGACTCAATCTACCTTATATATATGAGTGCAACACATGCCAGAGCTCATTCGACGTACAAAACAGGTAGGAGTAACATGTATTAGAAAGATCTTTTTTCAGTCTTTTTGAGACTTTCTCTACCCTATATATACGAGTGTACCAAATAAAAGGGCTCATTCGACTTACAGGGCAGGGAGGAGTAACGTCTATTTAAAACATCTTTATTCGGTTTTCTTTAGTTTCAATGCGCTCCATATATATGAGTACAGCATGTATCAAAGTTCATTACAGTTTCAAAACAGGTAGGAGTAACAGGTATTTGAAATATCTTTCTGCGTACTTTTGAGATTCGATGCACGCTATGTCTATAAGCTTCCCGCAGGTTAAGTTTCGTTCGACCTACAGAATAGGGAGAGGTAGCATATGTGAAGGACTTTTTCTGGGCTTTTGGAAGCTGCACGATGAATATATGTCTGTAGTGTATATCGCGGTTGTGTATCTTCAGAAAAATGTGCATGGTAGCATGTATGAGAAAGCGGTTTAGGGCAAGGGGAAGAAGCTGATTTCAATAGCACAAATCAATTTGAAATGACCTGAAGCCATTGAAATAACAGGAAATCACGTGAAATCAATCATAGGAAATCAGTTGAAATCATCTGATCACCTGGAAGCCTTTTTGTAGGAGCGAATAAGATTCGAGCAAGCTGGTTCTTTACTATTATAAGGGTAAAACATATTGTTGTTCGACCCGTATGATAGGGAGCTCTCGATAACCCTAGGATCGGCTCGACCACGGCTATGTGTTACCCGTCTAATAAGAGAAATTATACCGATTGGTTCGTTTTTCAATCAATCAAGGACCGAGATGGTATATCTCAGTGAAGAGCACGGAGACGGCTTATACATATACCCCTTATTCAATAGAGCACCCTTCATAACCGTAGGATCGGCTCGAACATGGCTATGTGTTACCCGTCTCATAATAGAAATACATCCACCTGAATCGGACTGATCCGTTTTGGAACCAATGAAATGCCGAGAGTCTGTTTCTGAGGAGCAGCAAGGAGGAGACCCATACCCTCCTGGACATCCTCGCATACCCACACCCGCTCAGAAAGATCTCATTGAGATTTCAGTGAGATCTCAGAAAGATCTCATTAAGATCTCATTGAGATCTCAGAAAGAGCGTATACGGCCGTATACAGTGCTTATACGGCCGTATACGCTGACGTATACGGCTGTGTCACGGTGTAAATACGGTCGTTTACAGCTGTCGTATTTCGCCGTATACGACACGGCGATTTACGGCCGTAATACGGTCCATACCAAAACGGCGAAGATACGGCCGTATTTTCGCCGTATACGGCGTCGTACACGACCGTATACGGCGTCGTACACAACCGTATACGGTCGTATCTGGTCGTCATAATGCTTGACCTGGGAACTACTTGTCCATTCTTACTACCTTTCTTTCATTGCATGATACGATGATTCCAGTTGTCAGCAATGAACAGTGTTTAATCGTCATCAACGCAAAGACCGTAAGCACGGTCGAGTTGATTGGTGGCACTGCCTTGCCCATTACCTCCAGCAACAGTCACTCCATTCTGTACCCAACGAGCATTAGCAGGAATATTGGGTATGACTGCTAGAAATGATAGTTTAAAACATAAATTATTGCTATCTCTTTCTCATGCATGGAAGGAATTCTTTAAAAATGAAATACTCTTCTGCAACTAACTCTTTCAAATTCCATGCTTATTTTTGAAAATCAATAGAAGGGAGGAAAGGCTCTAGAGAGATTTTCTCGATGTTCTAAACGATCTTTGGTAGACCCTAATTTACCGGATTTCATCATATTATATTGAAGATTACAGCCAAAGGATAGAATAGTCCTAATCATGAACATCAGAAACGTTAAGTATTTAGCTAGAAGTATGTAAGAAAACTCCTCAGAAAAGTAAGAAGTGTTTTACTAAAATTTCTATTTATAGAATTTTCATCGAGTCGCTGAAATAGAGTTTTTAGACGGTATGAAACTATCGATTTTAACCTTTCAAAGTCTTTGGAGTTAAATGCTTGCAAAAAAGGGCTCTTTCTGAGATTCAAAAAAGTTTTTCATAGTAGAATTGTTCATGAAATCTGTTTGATAATCATTAGAGGATCTTTATGAATAATTTTACTGGAGGCTTTTCAGAGCAAAAGCCCCACCATGATTTTTTTTTAGTATCTTAATACTTAATATTTGTAGAATACTTTTCGAAAAAAGTCTTCTACAAAGTTGGAAACTAGAGATTTTCAAATAAAATGCTATAAGAATCGAAAACGAATTGTTGCAGAGATGGTTCAAGATAGAATCAATCAAACTTTTCATAAAGGTTTCGACTTCACCTAGAATAAGTTCTTAGTTCATGTTATTCCATATCAGGGGTGTGGATATGGGTGTGCGTATAAACAAGATCTACACGCATATCGACACCCACACTCCACATCCTCTCAAACCAACAGAGTATTCTTTATATATAAAAATAACTACACACGCCTGATTACGAATGAGATGCGTGAACTAGTTCAATAAGCATTAATCAAGGCTTACCTATTTGTGGAGCATCAGTTGTAGTTGTAGTTGGTACGATAGTTGTAGCCGTATTGTTCGTCGCTATCAATGATCATAGGAAGTTTATATGAGAAATCATCTAAATAGTTCTATATGGAACATGGAAAATGATATACTCTCTAGTACAATGAAACTTTTACAACAGTTACATGAATCCCTAAACGATAATTCCGTTATACCCTTTTCAGCACAAGAAAAATGAATGTGAATATGTATGCATTTAACAATATAAATACACGATTGATCCTTTATGAATGTATGTGCTCTAGGCCGACAACTATACGTTCTACTAAAGATGATTGTTTGTTCTCTTACTTGTTATCAATGGACAGAGTTGTCGATTGTAACTCGGCATTGGATAACAAACAGGAAGATGATGACATCGAGGATGATGAACACATCTATGCTCAGGTTGATGACACAAGTTTGTTGAAGGCTCGCATGAAACCAAATCAGAACAATCTGCTAAGAATTGATCACTGTAAACTGTAAACAGGCACAACCACTATTTGGCGAACATCGATCGTATTGAGCCATATCATGGCATAACGGAGACTCGACTCGAATTATCAACACACTAAATTAAAATCAGAACAAAAAATACAAATGAAATCAAATCTTCCAAGCTTCAAAGAAAGACTTGTCACAGTTAAATGAATAGAAAAATTATAAATTTTACAATTACCCGCTTAGAACAAATAAAAAGCAGGAGACTCTTTTTAAAACCATCGTTTGAATTGGAATGAAATACAATAATGATAGCAATTGTTTTTATATCTAGTGAGCAGGCAATCATTTTTTACATTCGCCCATAATGAAAACTACGACTTAATCCTTGAATCATTAGAAATTCGATATTCATTTTAGGCTTTTTCAACAAAAAAAATCTGATTTTTTCGTAAAATTAATCCTTGTAGACGAGAAAAGTGCCATCAAACGTAAAGAGAGATCCAAAACTTTGCGTCCGAACTCAATTAATTGTAGTTGTTCAGATCTGAAACTAGACTAAAATAATCTAAACTATGTGTACATAACCTTCCCTAAATTTAAAACTTTCGATAAAGGTACGGATCCTATCCGATGGTACTGCCGGCTATATCCAAACCCTTATTTATCGTTTTTAGACATTACATTTCTAATACCAACGCAATTGATTAAGTTTTCAATTAGAACCAAAATCATTCCTAGATAATAGATAAAGTATAATTTCAATTGTGTGCAGTTTTCTAGAAGACAAAGTGTGATGAAAATATGAACGTTGTAAACTCATAAGTAGAGTTTAAAATTGATTTTCAGTCGAATATGAAATAATCTTTGTGCTAATAATTACTTCGCCTATCCGAATAATAAAAGTGAGGGTGTGGATGTGGCTCTCCTCTTTATCTAAACCCATACTCGCGCATACACATCCACACCCTTGTTTTTTATTATTTTTTTGTCTTTGTAATTATAGTTTACATTCAATTATTGAAAAAAAAATCAATATATAATATTTTATCTCGTTTGTTTTTCTTTAAAACTAAAAATTGCGATGATCAAATGATTTTCTTGATTGATTTTACTTTTAGATAATATATCGATCAATTACTTTCATATCAATTAACACAATGTTGACCAATTTTTTCATAACGATAACTGAGTACTTGTCAATATTTAACCTATCTAGATGAATATTAAACCTACAAAAATTTTATAAAAGTTCACATATATATTAATAAAATAGAACTGAAGAAGAAAACAAATATTCTAGTTCACTTTTGAATAGTCGATTTCATTGGAAATGCAAATATTTTTTCAATCACTTATTTGATATTAGAAAAAAAAACAGTTATCAGGAAATATGAGTATATATAACTGTTGATGAATCGAAGATCATGTTTATTTCATATTTGTCTCTGACAGAAATCAATATTGGTAGAATTTATTAGAAATATCAACTATAGTGCTTATTATTGTTCTTGT